AATAGGAACCGAGTTAGGTTTTTCTTTCTTTTTAATTGCAGGTCCTTCAATAATTAATATTAAGGAACCTGACTATGGCCATTCAATTGTTCAAACTTTGTATTATTTAATAAGTTCGCTTCATTTTCAATAGTCCTCCTTTAATTGTATCGAAATGTTGATTTAAATTTGCTATACTAGAAGTCGACGGCTGGTGGTGGTGGGGGAAGTCGCCCCGCGCCCTCAAAAAAAGAGAAAGCGCAATTTAATCCGAGGCGCCCGGCAAAATTTGATAAAATTATGTTTCTACTGCACTGATTTTGATAATTTTTTTTTAATTCGAGGTACCATCAATAATTTATCGACTATTACGTAACAATAACAATCATTTTATAAACTATTAATTAAATGCATAATGTCACTTGTACAATTTACTAGTTCTGCATTTAATTATGTCTAGACAAATTAGTTGCAAGGTTAAATATAATCGTTTGGTTTTCCCCGTAATAACTCAAAAAAAAAGAGACTCAAAATTGTTCGAAAAATACTATCTAATGAAACTTAAGTATCCTGCTCTTGAAAGTATTTTGCCGCGCAATAATATAGGGAGGTGCACCTACCCCTGCGGTGCAATTATACGGTGATCAGCCGTAATTGTTGTTGAGAATCAACGGTCGATGCTCCTCGAATATCAGCTGCGCTGCCTCGCTCCCAAATTCTGCTGTTGCTTGTTGCTGCCTTAGATGCTGCTGCTGTGATGCTCTGTATCTGCACTCGCACGTATTTAACAGTCCCAGGAAAACTTTTGATTTATAAAAATAACGGCGAAACACAGTGCAAAACTAATCACGGCGATACTCTCGCGAAAGCAGCTGAGGCTTAACTGAATATTCAAACTCTTGCGTGCCCCCTCTCTCTCTCTTATTCGTTCGAACTAACATCGCAAGTGCAAAAATCGCGAACAGATCGATTAATTGAATCGACTACCGTTGCAGCCCCCTCCAAGTCCTGACTACCCGCGTAAAAATCGAAAATATTGCCAATATATTGCGGAAATATTGGCAAAAAGTATTAGAGATATATTGGCAATATACTGCCAATATATATTGCAAGGCTATTGGCAATATTTATCTTGAGGTCGATTAGCAAAATATTGCCAATACTTGCTAAGTGAGCCGCAATTTTAGAAACCATTGGCAATATATTGGCAATAGGTATTTTTTAATTAGTTTTTCCAATAGTTTGGCAATATGTTGGCAATACTTTCAAACAATCCTCTGCAATAATTTTCTAATACGTGGGCAATATATGGCCAATACTATCCCAATAAATTCGCAATAGAACGTTGCTGAGCTTTTGCCAATGCTTTTTCAACATATTTTTTATTCATCTCTTATATATATAAATGTATAAATAACCAAATAAGAGTATTGTACTTTATTTTCAGCAAGCAACACAATTTTACGTTAATGTACAAGTCAACATTGTTTACAATTATTCGCTACCGAAAATGTGTGAATGTCCATTACAGTTGTATTATTAACCCGCGTAAAAAAAGAAACTATTGGTCATACATTGCGCATATATTGGCAAAAACTATTGTGATTTTATTGCGGATATATTGGCGACTGCTATTGGGATACACTTGCCAATAGCTGTCTTGGGTGCTACCAGCAATATGTTACCAATAGTTGCAAAATGAGCCCGGTTTTTAGCAACTATTGGCAATATGTTGTCAACGTTGATTTTTCCCATATTTCCTCCATACTTTGCCAATATGTTGGCAATTGTTGCAAAGAAAAATTTTCCGTAATGGCTTGACAATATCTTAGCAATATAAACTGAATTTATTCTTCTTCGTATTCAATTATATTTTTACAACATTTGTTTTTTAACAAAATATATTTTATTTGTATTCCAACTTTTTACAATTTTTTATTATTCTGCAGAGTTACGCGTGAATCAGACAAAATACCTATACGTTCTCAAGAACGTTAACTGGCTCTATAATGTAGTCACAATTCTCATGTTCAATTCCGACGTGGTAACAAACACATTTCAATCTTTCAATATCAATAACTTTTAAACGTGACGAAACTCGAATAGTTTTGTGCAAGCCTGAAAGCGTACCTTTCGGTAGGTCTACTGAAAATGGGTTTTCAACGTCGAGATTTTTTATAATTGCAAAATGTTCACCATTGCAATCACATATTTTTTTACAAGTACAGCTTGTGATCCGCATAAAATTTTGTACAATACCAAATCTGTAGTAATTATTAAATTCGTATTTAACATATGACGAGTCGGTTTTTGTTTTCTTTTGACTCTCTTCTGACGTATATAAAACATCGTTCTTGTACGCTTTTGAAAATACAAATATATTTTTTTCAGACCAATTCATTTCTACGATTATTCTATTTACATAGTTCGGTATGGCTTTTAGTAATGTACCGACTAAAAATATTTTATTCCCAATTTTTGTTAGTTTAAGCTTTCTTATAGGTGATAAAACATTATCACAGAATTTCTGAGCTCTCTCGTTATCATTTAGCCAATAATTTCTAAAAGTATACACAGCCATGTAAAGGCTTAAATTGGAGACGATTTGTAAGTGGGGTGAATTACTACTACGAACCATTGCTTTCAATTTCCCATTTAAATCTTCTAGCGGAAAGCATGAAGTTGTAAAAAGGGGCCCAAATCGACGGACCATTAAAGGCAAATGTATCAATAGATGTAAGTTACATGTCATAAATTTCAAGTCGTAAAAATTTGGAAATTGTTTAATATACTTATCAAAACACTTTCCTGCTAGATCTATCATTTCGTTTGTGACTTTCTTCTGACACAACAAATGAAGCCCCAGCCAGAAAAGCATATAGTAATTTAAGTAATCATCTGGCATTATACCATGCATTACTGGTATAAAATAATAAATCGACCAATTTAATAACTCTGATGCTTTCCAGTAGCTTAAATGGGTTTTTATCGGTCTGGGTCGACGAGCGACAGAACAAGGAGGTTTAATTGAGCATAATCTATAATCCGCTACTTCAACGAAATTCTAGAGCGAAAATTTCTGGCCAGCAAATTTTGCGTCAAAATGTAATTGAGTGATCCTTTTCGCAATATCTTCAAAAGCACAGTGAAATATATCGATACCAGTAGATGTTATGTAATTTTTGCAAACTTTACACAAGATAGATGGGCCTTTTACACCGCAAACAGGCATTCCTGATTCCACAGCTCGTTTTACGTTTTTGAGTGTTTCTTTATCGGTTCTAAGTTGCAATTCATTTCTGTATGGATAAACACGAGTATTTTGTACCGTTTGGCCTGGTTCTAAACATGTCATGCACCCAAACCTGCCGTTGTACTGATTCATGCAAAGGAAAAGAGCTTTTGCAGGTAAATCTGCGGTACCACAACATATTAATCCTCGAATAGTAATATACTTTGCTAGATCCCGAACGTAAACCTGAATACCTTTATAGAGCTTTTCTAGAGGTTCTTTTACTGGCTTTAAAAACAAATTCGGGTTAGGTTTTTTGTCTCCGAACCATAAAGCAATTAATAAAACATTTTTTATAAGATACCTCATATTTAATGGTAGTTCTAAAATAATTAAAAAAAAAACCCCATATGTTGTATTTAGATGAGTTAAAAATTTTAACTCCATCGGTGTACCATAGAAAAGATATATTGTTTTTATCAGATAAAATACCGTTTGGCTGATTGTGTTGTTTATATATTTCACCATTGTAAATATCCTGATAACCGTCATTGTTCATACGAGCCGAATTATTTTTTATGCTATAATAAAAATCTTGACGTTGGTATAAATTTTCTAACTGCGGGAGCAATGGAATTTCCAAGAAATAACTTTGTTCGTTAGGATCATAACAATCACAATATTCACCCACGTCATTAACCTCGTCATTTTCGATGGATTCGTCGTTATCAATATTATGATCGGTGTTATTAAAAGGAGCTTGACATTTTTTACAATAATGGTGCTTTATAAAATGTGTTTGTTGATCAGTGAAAAATTTTTCAAATTTGTAATAAGTAGTGGGGCATTTGTGTAGTATAACGCAGCACAATGCAATTAATTTCAAAATGTCAGAAATGCAAACTTTGGTCAAACCATGACGTAATTTGAGAGTAGCTACGCATATTAAGAATGCTAATACAGTAATGGGTGATCCTGGGAACAATTTTTCATCCCGATCGCATCCTTCTTGATTTTTCTCTTCAGTCTCGTCGTTGCTCGAAACGCTGTTTGTGTCGCTGAAATCGTCGCCATCGTCGCCATCGTCGCTATCGTAGTTATCTGTATTAAAACATGAAAAATGGTGTAATATAATCTATATTAAAAAAAAGGCTCTATTTTTACTTCTCAAACACATAATTAAACAATCCTTACTCTAATAACACTTGTATAAAAAAAGCATTGCGAATGCTTGCTTTGCGCACGCGTAAAACAACATGCAATTATGTTAGTCTTCCGAAGTCAAACTTACGATGAAATTTGTTGTACCTTCGAGCGACTATCGATTAATGCTTGCTTTTTCTACGTAAAATGGAATATGCAAACAAGCACATGTACATACATACCGTAATTGAAATTCGGCCAGCTTTTTTGAAGTACATTCACGTCAATATCCATGTCGTAGCAATCAAAATATTGATTTGAATTGGAACTTTCAATACCATCTCGGTTTTCAAGCTTATAAATAATATAATACAGGATTATTAATTATTCTTATTATTCATATCGTTGAGGGCAGTAGAAAATTTTACGGGTTACTTGATGTATTGTATTTTCGCCTGTGAGTGTACTTTCAGTTACTGTGTTATCGACATCATTTTTCAATAAATATTCCAAGCGATATTGTACTCGGGGATGGTATTGTTCAAAAGAATATCTTTGTTTCGGCATTGTCAATGATATTCGAAAGCACCATTTAAGTTGATTTTAAGCATAATTCTTACAACATTTTAGGTTACTGTTCAATAACAACAATTTTTATATTCGATTTTCGACTGTGTTGCGCAGCTAATATCAGATGTCATTAGTTGCCAAGACAAATTAGTGGCGTTTCGTGCATTTTTTAAATGTAATTCCTTATCTCTTTTAACAAAAAAAGATATTCTATCGGCAAAATGTACGCGTTAATCGTGTGGACTGGTTACAAAACCAAGAGTGTGATTGGCATCGATAAATTGGAGCCTGATAAAGACGAGGGCGAAGAGACGATGGCACGCTTTGATGATGGCCGATTATACAATGCGAAAATTGTGAGAAAAAGTGGTTAGTAAAGATTTTTACTGATTTGAAATTTATACCCTATCAAATCCATTAAATTGTGACACTTTATTTTAAGTACTTAAAAATATAATTATATAGAGTTTTGCTTACCATGATTTTGTAATTAATTGTTTTCCAGATGACGAGAAGTACTTAAATATGTTACCTATCACTACTGATGGTGAAGTGATGGTGAAAAATAAAAATACATACAAACAAATGGCCCACGCAGAAAAAGCTATATTGAAAAAGCAAGAAAAGCTTGCTAAAAAAGAGAGAGAAGCTAAAAATAATACAAAAAACAAAGCTTTGTTGGATAGCGATTCCATCTTCGATGACGGTTTTGGAAACTCAGGTGGTACTTCAAGCTCTGATTCGGAGAGTAATAAGAACCAGGAAAGCTGCAAAATCGATTTGGATCAACAAGTAATCGTAAATAAAAAAGCTCTATCTGAAATTCGAATATTTTCACGATACAAAAGTTTATGATATAAACTGTCGATATGTTGCAGGATCTAGACAACGATCCGAGGCGATTGAAAAAGATTCTGACGACATTGATGACGAGAAGAGCTCCAAAACGAAAACTTGTAAAGACGACGATAAGTTTCATGATCAAGTAAATTGAATACGTACTTTAATTATTTTTTCGATAAAAGATACGTTCTGGAAAATGGAAAATAGTCGAATTATTTATAAAAGATACGTTCTATTACAAAATCTTCGAGGCGCAGTTATATTTCCGCGAAATGTACGTGACTAATCTTCATTCATTTTTGTAGGAAATGTACCGGAGTTCTAATGAAACTGCGGTTCCGGAGGAGGTGGAACCGACAAGAAAAAGAATCAGGAAGAAGCGCAGAGACAGCAAGTTCGAGTGGGATGCCCTGGAAATTCGTCGAACGGTATATTAAAATTTTTAATTAATTATTTTCTATGCTTGCTCCAACTAACTTCCAGTTGGAGCAAATCGAATTTTATTGAGCTTTCAGTAAAAAAAAATACTAAAGAATAGTCCTTTTTTGTACTATTAGAAAAGAACAGAAACTAGTCAATCCAAGAAGAAAAATAGCAACAAGACACCAATTCGTCCTACATTTGGCTATGAAAATAACGCGGAGACATCACAAAAAAACAGCAGCAAAACATCGGCTAATACTGCAGGCACTTCTGGATTTTGCGGCAACGATAACGGAACCGATAGCGATACAGAAAATCAAGAACCTATCGGAAAAAGACAAGACTTTGGTCTACAGCAAAAGAAGAGAACAGTAGAAACTACGGCAAGTATTGTTGAAACCAATAGATGATATACAATTTCTTCAGCTTACATTTTATTTAAAAATTTTTTCATCCGGAAATTTAATTATATTCGTTGAATAAATAACTTTATTGAATCAGTTCAGCTTATTCAGCACTTAATTATATACACTTTAAGGTTCGAAATCGTGATGAGCATGCGCGGAAAAAAATACAAGAAAGGACTGCTGGCGAACTCGAAGTCTTTCCGGGGGTAATTTATTTTTCTTAAGTATATTTTCAAACTACATTCGAAACAATTTATTCAAAATTAATTTGCAGCAAAATCAGGTGCAAAATTTTTGGGGATGTGAACCACCTGACTACTCCGAAGATGATGTGAAATTATATTAAATAGGTCATAAATACCACATCATGAAAAGAGAAATATACTAAAATGAATTTTTCAGGAAAATGTTGAAGAAGATATACTTGTAGAATGCAGACGACCGGGACTTAAAAAAGTTTTGATATGTGAGGACTTTCCAGAGGTTTGGATCAAGAAGTCTGAATTGACGTGTCTGTACAGGTGGAAATCGAAACCACAAGAGATGGCTCGGCGACTGCTCAAACTCCTCGTAGGAACTAAAAAATTGAAAAACATGTGCGCGAGAGGCCGCTCATCTAGGCATGAACCAATTCCAGAAGATATTGCAAGCTGCGTTGAATGTAAATTCCAAATAGTAATTTTTATATTGCTAATCTCTTTTACAACTCTGTAACTTCCCGGCATAACAGTAACTCCATTTTCGTAATTTCGAGCTGTTTTTTTTTTCAATTCAAAGAGGGTACGTAAATTCATCTATTTTCTTGCGAAGAGTTAGTCTAAACGGTTCTAAGGACAGGTTATTTTTGCTCTACAACAAATTCGAAAATTGACTAGCCGTTTTTACGTATATTATTAAGACTTTAAAAACACATAACTCGAAGTTCCGAATAAAGAGTTAGGCTGTTTGCCGGTAAGCTACAGAATTCATGCTTGCTAAAAATATTTTCAAGCACACGTTATTTTTCCTCATTTACTAATTATTTTTTTTAATATTTCAGACTACGTGAATAAAAAGTGCGAGAAAGGTCTTAGTCCAGCAGCATTCACGACAGTAGTGAATTTGATGTGCGATTCGATTCGTCACCCCAAAAAATAAATTGACCTTCATTCGTTATCGAGTTTAAGTCAGAAGTTGAATGTTCCTCCAGTCATACTGAATCTTTGAAACAGCTCATTTTAATAAATTCGAATTTCACTCATAAACAATAAATATTACATTATCATACAATCTTTTTAAAAATGTTTAGTATTATATTCTTAAAGATTATTATTAATTTATGAAGAAATAAAATCTATTTAAAAAAAATAATGATGTACAAATTTAATTTACACGGAGAAAAGGAAATTTAGTTTTTATTGTCAACATTAGCAAGCCATTGCGGAGAATTTTTTTTTGCAACAATTGCCAACATATTGACAAAGTATGGGGGAAATATGAGAAAAATCAACGTTGACAACATATTGCCAATAGTTGCTAAAAACTAGGCTCATTTTGCAACTATTGGCAACATATTGCTGGTAGCACCCAAGACAGCTATTGGCAAGTGTATTCCAATAGCAGTCGCCAATATATCCGCAATAAAATCACAATAGTTTTTGCCAATATATGCGCAATGTATGACTAATAGTTTCTTTTTTTACGCGGGAAGTTATACACAAATGCAAAGTTATTATTAAGTTATTATTAAGTTAAAATTGATTTAAGATATAAATCGCTTACTTATATTACTAATCATTCCTTCTCAACGTTATTTACTGGTTCTACGATGTAATCTGTGTTTGTATTTTCCACCCTTATATGATAACAAACATTTTTCAAAGTTTTGATTTCAATAATTTTGTAATTTTCACACTTAGCAACACATTTATGTATTAATGATAAAGTACCACCTAGCACATCAACAGAAAATGGATTTTCAACTACAAGTTCTTTAATGATTGCGTAATTTTCTCCACGACACTTACACAACTTTTTACATTTACAATTTGTAACGCGCACAAAGTTTTGAATAATACTAAATTTATCTGAACCATCGTAATTATACTGAACATAAAACGACTCGGATTTGTTGTTACTTTGAATTTCTTCTGACGTATACAAGATCTCGTTTTTATATAATTTTGAAAATACAAAGACATTTTTATCAACCCAATTGTTATTTACTAAAATTTCATGCATGTATGCAAGTGGTTGTTTTATCAAATGACCAACTATTGAAATGCTTTTTTCAATTTTTATGGATTTAAATTTTCTTGTGGGCGATAAAATTTTGTTGCAAAGTTCAAGAGCTTTTTTGTTTCCTTCTAACCATTTATCTTTGTAAGTGTAAACTGACATATAAATACTTAGATTAGAAATAATTTGCAAGTGCGGAGATTTACTCCCGCGTACCATCGCTTTCAATTTTCCGTTCAAGTCTTCAAGTGGAAAGCATGAGGTAGTAAAAAGAGGGCCAAAACGACGAGTCATTAAAGATAAGTGTCTTAGTAAGTGTATGTTACAACTCATAAATTTTAATTCATAAAATACTTCGAATGTTTCTATAAACTTTTCAAAACATTTATCTGCTATATCTATCATAGAGTTTGTAATTTTGCTTTGTAATAATAAGTGAAGTCCCAATAATAAATACATATAATGATTCAAATAGTCTGCAGGTAATATACCGTGTAAAACTGGTACTGAATAATATAAAGCAAAATTTTTCAATTCAGAGGCTTTAAAATGACAACTATGCGTTTTTATCGGTCTTGGTCGTCTTGTTACAGAGCAAGGTGGTTTGATTGAGCATAGTCTAAAATCGACAACTTCCACTAAATTATTAAATGAAAATTTTTCGCCAATAAACTTTTCATCAAACCATAGTTGAACGAGTCGTTTTATTATTCCCTCGAATGCGCAGTGCATAAGATCGATAGCTGTAGAAGTTAGGTAATTAGGTACAATTTTTGACAAAATTGAGGGACCTTTAACGCTGCATACAGGCATATTCGCTTCTACAGCTAATCGAGCATTAACAATTGTCTGTTCGTCTGTTCTAAGCTGCAATTCTTTATTATAAGGATATATTCGAGTGTTAGCTACAGTGAGACCGAGCTCTAGACAAGTTTGGCATCCGAATCTATCATTGTATTGGTTCATCGCGAGAAATAAAGCTTTTGCAGGTAGGTCAGCAGTGCCGCAAATAATTACTCCTTGAATAGTAATAGATTTACGTAAATCTTGTACATAAATTTGAATGCCTTTATAAATTTTACTTAGAGGCTCTTTAAGAGGTCTTAAAAATAAATTCGGGTTAGGTTTCTTTTCACCAAACCATAATGCAACCAACAAGACGTTTTCTACTTTATATCTTAATGCATAAGGCAACTTTAAAATTATCAAAAAAAAGCCCCAAATGCTGTACTTGGACGAGTTGAAAATTTTTACGCCATCAGTGTACCATTGAAAAGAAATATTATTTTTGTCTGAAAGAATTTGGCCTTCTTGGGCTAGTTCTTTATATACTTCACCGTCATAGATATCCCGATATTGACCATTTGGGGCATAACGGAAGCCTGTATTAAGACTGTTGTAAAATTTGTTACGATCGTATAAGCTTTTAAGCTGTGGAATTATCGGGATTTCAAGATAGTAATTTTCATCTACGTTATCGTTGCAATTGCAATATTCGTCATCACGAATGATCTCTTCAATTTCAATCGATTCATCGGTTTCTACATTGTTATCGGTGTTATTAAGTGGCGCTTGACATTTCACGCAATAATGGTGCTTTTCATATTCGGTCATTTCATCACTAAAGAATTTTTCAAATTGATAATAGCTAGTTGGACATTTGTGCGGCACAATAAAGCATAGCGCGAATAATTTTAAGAGATCAGCAGCACACGCTTTAGTGATTTGATGTTGCAAATTTATAGTGGCAAAAGTAATAACAAACGCTAATACAGTCATTTCCGATCCAGGGAACAGCTTTTCTCCATGGTTAGATTTATAGTGACTCTCTTGCTTGACTTCTTCGTTGCTCGAATGACTGCTTTTTTCGCTAAAGTCGTCATCTTTGATGTCACTTTCATAATTATCTACATGAAATATCAATAAATGAACGCTTAAAACATCAGAATTTTAAATTGCCAAATAAAAGTACTTTCACTAAAGCACGAAATTGAAAGCTCGTTTACTCTGTTGGTAACATGTTAGAATTTGAGCCCTTCAAATTCTACCAATCTCGAAACGTGTACTATATATAATAGCCGTTTTCTGTTACTTCGAAATATTTTTCCTTGGAATATTAGTATTATAATAAAAAATGATTGTAACATTATTTGTAGATTCAAGAAATGCATCAATCAATGCAAATCGATTTGCAATATCAAAGGTAATCTTAGTTCATACTTAGTGTAAGTATAGATGAATGAATATTACCGTAATCAAATTTAGGATGATTCATTGGATCATTATTTTCGTCGACGTCCATATCGCAGCAGTCAAAGTAAGCATTAAAATCGTCATTTTCAACTTGAACGTCATAGCGATTCCCCATCTAATTGAATGTTTAATTCAACGTTTCATCTTAGCACTCTTTCTTATATTGTATTATATAATCATACACGAATCAATTTTTATTTACATTACTAGTTGTAGTTTTATCCTGTGCTGTATGATATTCGGTAACGCCACAATCATTCTTCATATATTTTTCCAAGCGACATTGCATTAGAGGAGAGTATTCTTCGAAATGATTTCTTATTTTCGGCATTTTTACTAATATCCGTACTAACAAATTTGAAATTACGTATCTGTCATTACAGGTTAATCTATCGAAGTACATGGAAAAGTTTGTTTTGTTTGTTTGTTTTTTCGCAGTCTTGTTTTCTTTTCTTTTTGTTGATTAAGGTTAAATACCGTTAGTATTCAAAAGCAAAGTACGGTATAAGATTCCCATTTACGATTCGCAGCAAGATGTACGCTTTAATATTGTGGCTAGATTATAAGACTACCAGTGTGATTAATATCAAGCAATTAGAACCTGATGATGAAGAAGCAAAAGAAACGATGGCCAGATACGATGACGGGAAACTGTATCGAATCAAAATTGTCAAAAAAAAATGGTAAAGTTTATTCAAATGCATGTATATTCGTAATAAGTTTTTCAAAATTTTTGCCTGCCTGAGTGAAAGTTAAATAAAAAAAAATATGTACCCAACGTAGCTGATGAACGTTATCTAAGTAACCTTACTGTCAGCACTGATGGAGAACTTATCATAACTAAGAAAAAAAATTACCTCAAGAAGATAGCTACCTCAGAACAAAACTATTTAAAACAGAAAGCCATCTTCGAGAAAAGTAAATTGCAAAGAAAGTTATATTCTAGTAATGTATCATTAATAAGCTCTAATTCTATTTTTCAAGATTTTGAAATCTCAAAAGAAGAGAAGAAATTGGTATAAAGAAAAAAATACTTCTCATTATCAACCTATATGATTTTATTATTCATTGCTAATTTATTTTACATGCTAGAACGCACAACCTGGTGACACCAAGCAAGCTGCAATTTCAAAATCAGGCAGCGACGGCAAAAAAGAGCGCCCGAAAAGATCGACAGCAGAAAAGCAACGTGATAGCAACTTTGAGTGGGGCAGAATAAATACTCGAGTATCAACATCAAATAAATGTAACTAAATAAATTTTTCTATTAAATTAAATATAACTTATTACGAACAGAGAGAGAGAGAGCGAAGAATGCAACAAGTTCTACCAAATTTCGCTTCAATTATGTGTCAAACAATGGCGACAGTGATTCCTCCACAAAAAATACAGGACAGCAGACGTTACAAATCACAACTGGCTCTAAGAATAATATACAGGTATCAATTATTTCTAACATTACAGCTCAGATAATTTGAACAACGAATATATAAAATAGAAATCCACTTTTGTTTTAAAAAGTTTACTTAAAAATATTATCATTGCAAAAGCAAGGAATAAATGAAACTTGTTTTTTTAATTTAACTTTCAAAAAAGCCTGTGATGATCCTCGATAATTTATAAATTTTATTTCAGATTCACGATGCTGATATTGAGAAGCGGAACAA